AATCCTCATACAAAATGTATAATCAAAATCTTATAATTCATAATGAAAATTAATACTTAATATATTTAAACCATCATGATACATTCCAACAAAATTTCAAAATAACTAAAAGCACATACAATTTGAATAGTTCTGATGTGATCGTCTTCCGGCGTATGCTGTCCTTTCCTAGCTTCACTCCTTGGATCTCTTCAAACCTACATGTTAAACCACTCACACGCTAAGTCATTCACTTAGTGAGGCATAATGAGTAAAGAAAACAATAAACATTTGCTTAACTTTTTCAAGAAACATTATCGATAGAAACCAATATATATATTTCACACACATACTTATAATATTATACACTATTTAGTTCATATCAGTTTTTTTAAAGAGCCCAACACATATTATTGAGAAATCAAGGTATTTGAGTACATTTGCTCATATAATTTGCACCGAAGTGCAATGTAGAATATGCACCGAAGTGCCACATAGATTTGTCCCGAAGGATCGCGTAGAACCCTTGACTCTGGGCATGCCAACTATACCTTTAATTCTCATACATATACTTTGGGCTTTAACCAATTAATTATTTAACATTTTATTATTCCAAGTGTGTTTTATTCACATAGAGCAATTTCACATAGGGTATTTTCACGTAGATCATTTGCACGTAGAGCATTTTCTCATATGGCATTTCCATATAAAACATATTCACATACAATTAAAATCAAAACAATACTTTGAAAATAAACTTTATATAAAAACATAACAAAATATTGCATAAAATAAATAAATAATTTTCGGTCAAAAATATTCGAGGTTGGCTTATCGCAAGCCGTCCTCATTTCTAATATAAAAATATAAATTGCACTCACATTTGCCTCATGTAAGTCCTAACGAAATCTTTTTAACTTTTGTTCAAACTCTTTGCTATATCGCTTCGATCAATATGCTTTCGATCCAAATCTACATATCAATATTTCCAAGATCAATACCAACTTTCTGTAAATGAATAACCAATTAGCACTTACATAAATGAAATGAAACACCTAATTTAGCATTTCAGACTGAATAGTATCGGTACCCCTTCTACAGTACCGATAATTATCTTCTATGGTACCGATACCCACTTCGGTATCGATACCATTTTGGCATTTTGGAATTTCATTTCAATTACAATATCAATACTTTTCTCTTGGTATCGATACCTCAACATCAATATTGATATTTCTTCAATCCGTATCGATATTGTTCATCATATTCATACGTTTTTCCTTCAATTTACCCTTATAATATAGGTATTGTTCTTCCAGTACCGATACACTTACCCATATTTTACCTCTTTTACTTTGAATTTTACCTACACTTTAGCTAAATCTCACTCTCTAAGCTCCAATCAAACCTTTAAACTTACTAACATTGATCACCACCAACTTATATCCATTATTTAAATTTTAATAACCAAATTTCTCTATGGAACACTTAAGACTAAGAATTATACCAAATCTTCAAACATGTTCTCAATTATTTCTAAGACTTCAAATGCCTTAATTTGACCTTTGACAAGTCAAATATACCTTTAGAATCTAATTACTAACCAAATTTCATCCATTCACATAAAAACCCATTTTACTAATTCACTAATAATTCACTAATCTATTAGTTTCTATTAATCTTAAAGCTTCCAAACCACTCAAGGCTTCAAAACCAACCCAAAATTGAAAGGAATAACCAACTTAAAGAAACTCACCTTGACAATGGAGTTTACGGGGAAGAAGAAGAAGATAACCCAAAATGTTCCAGATATTTCTTTTTTCCCACATTCTTTAATATCTTTAGAAATGAATATTAAATTCATTTATTGCAAAAAGACCAATATGCCCTTTCATTCTTCCATCTTTAATAAAAAGTCCTAGACATAAATTCTAAAATCAGCCCTTATACTTTTCAATTTATTCAAATTAAACCACCAAATTTAAAATCCTTATATTTTAATCACTGACCCAATGTTTGGGGTATTACAACCATGTCTTGGAATCACTTTGGAGAGCATAAAACAGAGGCCTTTGTTTTGTCTTTGTTAGGGCATGTTTGGCTTCTTCTAACCTTTAGGAATATGTTAAAGGTAAAAGATTAAAACTCTTTAAAGAGACTTGCGCTTGGATTCCTATCCATCTAATGCCAAGACAAGAACAAGTATCAACTTTGTGTATTTTCTATTGTTTGCAGGTCAGAGTAGAAAAAGATAAACTATGGTATGTTTTTTTGGGGGTTAAAATAGATTTATTTTAAAATTATTTTAGAATTTATCATTTTACATATTTAATTAAATGTAAAATATTTAAAACTTTATTAATTTTTTCAAATATTTAGAACTTCATGTACTCTTGAACCTTTATATTATAGGGTAAAGTACACAAATGGTCCCCTGATTATAAAGTATTAGTCTATTAAGTTCATCGACTATTAAAAGTTATAAAATAATCCTCTGATTATAAAATGTTACTTTAATAAGTATCTCGACTATTAAAAGTTTCAAAATGGTAACCCAATTATTCAATATATTCTAAAAATTTGTCTTGTTCCGTTAAAAATTGGCGAGTGTCTAAGTTGAACGTTAATATGATGACCGTGATATGATAATCATTTGAGATTCTAGAATCAGATTTTATCATATCACAATCAGCAGGTTAATGTTCAGCTCAAAATACCATTTTAACGACACTTTATAGTTAATGGATTACACGGGTATTCATCAACAGAAAGAAGTGTTGGATCAAATAGCTCATAGATTGACTGAAGAAGCTGAGAAATTGGACATCCCGTTTCAGTTCAATCCCATTATTAACAAATTAGAGGATATTAACATCGAGAAATTGCAGTTAAAATCGGGGAGGCTTAGGCAATCAGCTCTGTTCTCCAACTACACTCCCTTTTTTCTAACAATTTAAATCTAACTATAATTAAAAAAAGTGCTTGTGTTAGTGGTGGTTTTGATGGCAACAATATAATTTAAATAATGTTATTAACCATTCAATAACAACCAAGTGACTTGGCTTGGTGATTAGGCGTCAAGTTTTTCATCCCTTAAACCTAGGTTCAAATCCCACGAGTTGCAAAATTTTGTGGAAATTTAATCCCTCATTTCTTAATATAATAAAAAAATCTATGTGCCATATGGTAACATCTGATTGGTTGCTATTAATTTAGTAAAAAAATATTAATTTAGTAAAAATTAATTATTTATTAATTAAAAAATGCTAATGTGGCATAACACGTGGATATGCCACGTCAGCATCTCCATCCACATGTTCTTGCTGAGTTAACTTTAGACGTTGACCGTCAATTGATTAATTGTTTTCATCCAATGAGGGTGTTTTTTGACTCAAAATGAAACGTGGGGAGGTCAAATGTTCCAAAAAAAACAATAGGGACAAAATTGCATATATTGTCAAACGTTAGGAGTATTTATTTGCATTATGTCATACATAATTTACCCTTTTTTAGATCTTGCCTGCATGTTCCAAGGTATGTTTGCCCTGCCCTCCCTTATAAAAAGTAGTCTTTTGGTGATTCAACCTACAAATTCTGGTAGAATATTTGCAGGAGCTTGGAAATTTTATTGCCAAAGCATATCTTGGTCGGTCAGCATACGATCGAGATACAAAGAATCTTTTCGGCTCGATAATGGTTATGTAATTGATACAATAATTCCAACCATTGTTTTCCATCACTTGAGACATTTTTTCATGGTAATATATATCAACATTTCCATTCCACCTCACATATCTAAACCTTCAATGCCGATTCATTCCCTTCTCATCTTCATTGTTTTACTCAATGTATGTCCTTCAACATCTTTTCTTTCTTCTTTCTATATTGTTTATCTATTATATGTTTAGGGAAGTATCGAGGGACTGCTCCTTAGAATTTTCAAATTCTCTTATATTTTATACTTGTTCTTTATATTTTTTATTGGTTATTTAATTTTGTGCCTTTAAAATTTTATAACTCTGCAACCTAAACTTTTAATATAACTTCTTAAGTTCGTACTCCTAATATAAATTTCTGCGTCCGTCCTTGTATATATATGTACATCATCTTTTAATTTTTTAAGAGACATCATCTTTTAATTAATAATAAGTATGTAAAACAAGTAAGTTAAATTTTGTGGCACAGTTTGCAGTTGGAGGAAGCCATGCAACTCGGACAAAAGAGGAGGTTCATTGGATATCAGTGTTTCCTCACTCTCCGATGCCCAAAGTTCTACATGACATTCTGCCTATAACTGGTTTTTTCATTATCATTTTATAACTCATTTATTTATGGGTAAAGTACACAAATGGTCCCTTGTCTGTAAGATATTACTTTATTATATCCCTCGACTATTAAAAGTTACAAAATGATCCTAATGTTGCTTTGTTAAGCCATTCAACTATTAAAAGTTACAAAATAGTCACCCGACTATTCATTCTGCTCCAAATTCGTCCTTTTCCATTGAAAAACTGACGATATTTTTAGCTGAACATTAACCTACTGATTGTGATATGATAGGATTTGATCCCAGAATCTCAATCTACTATAATATCCTAGTCATCATGTTAAAGTTCAGCTTAGACAACCGCCAAATTTTTAATGGAAAATGATGGTTTGGAACATAATGAATAGGTCGAGTGACCATTTTGTAACTTTTAATAGTCAAAGGACTTAACAAAGAACATTCTATAGTCTGAGGAATATTTTATAACTTTTAATAGTCAAGAGATTTAATAAAGCAATATTCTATAGACGAGGGACCATTTGTGTACTTTACCCTTGTTTATTTATTCAGAGCTTCAATGATTCCCATTAAGAAATTTGAATTCTGATTATTATAAACTAAAAAACTAAAATAAAAACATGGCTTTTATATGATAAACCTATACAAATCTTTGGCTTTTAAATTAAGAAAACCGAGGTGTGTAAAGTTCCGTTGGTGAGCGACGATGGGACAACGGCTAACGCAATGGTTTGTCACAAAGATACATCGGCTTGGAGTCCTAATCATCTGGCCTTTAAGATTATTAAGATAAAGCCAGGAACTATCCCCATTTGCCATTTCCTTGGCCGTGATACCCTCGTCTGGATTTCTAACTAAGCTATTCAAATTACGTGCACTAGTAGCATGGTATTGCAATAAGAAACTTATAATAAGCTTGTCTTGTTGGAGACAAACTTTGATTTAACTTCACCATGATATTTATACCTATATAAAATTGTGGTATCATACCATGGGACTGAATTATGTTGACGTGGATATGAATTATAAAGTTGTAAGATTAAAAAAAATATATAAAACATTTTACGTAAATTACGCGTTTAGTGTCAAAACTATCAATTTTAGTCCGTTTTAGTACCTAAACTTTCAATTTTTTTAAAACCATGCCTATAGTTTTCATTTATTTTAGTACAATTGTTCAAAATTTAACGTTAAATTTTGATTTTTTGTTGTTGAAAGTTTAGGTATTAAAATATACTAAAATTGATAGTTTAGGTAATACGTGCATTAAGTTTTTAACGGTGAGATACTAAAATGAATAAAAAACTAAACTTTAGGTATGATTTTGAAAATTTTGAAAGTTTATGTACTAAAACAGACTAAAACTGATTGTTTAGATACTAAATGCGTAGTTTACCCAATATTATAAGTTATAAAATAATAATTTAGAAGTTTTTTTAATTAATATGGGTAAGTATAAGGTAGTATATATTCAAAGATAATTCTTAACCATTTCAGCATTGAATGCTCACACTCCTGATATTTATAACGCTCGAACCCAAAACCTTAAGTAATAATAAGTCACTTGCTTCTACAATAATAATTTAGAAGTTAAACAAGTATCTAATTTAATTGTACACCAACTTTTTTTATTTAAAAAAGTCTATTTAAAGCGGATTAGTAGTAATAGATTTTAGTGTAAACTATACATTTAGTACCTAAATTATAAGTTTCATTTTATTTTAGTACTAAACTTTCATTTGTTTCAAAATCATACTAAATATTTACTTTTTATTTCATTTTAGTACACTGTTGTTCAAAACTTAAACGCACCGTATATTGGTAAATTACATCATTCATCCCTCAACTATCTTTTCACTACTATTTTGGCCACTAAATTTTAAAATTTTCAATTTAACTACTCAACTTTCAAATTGCTCCTATTTTATCATTCTAATTAATTTTATTAATAATTTGTCTGGCATGAAATTTTTATTAATATATAATTAAAATAAAAAATTAAATTTGATAGTTAGAGTAATTGAATTAGAAGTAATTTAAAAGATAAATAATTAAATTTTAAAAATTTAAACTTTAGTGACTAAAATAGGAGTGAGAAGATAGTTGATTGATGAATGATGTAATATATCCATAAAAAAGTGCCACGTACTACTCAGTCGTTAAATATTTAACAACAAGGTACTAAAATGAAACAAAAAGTAAAAATTAAGTATGATTTTGAAATAAATGAAAGTTTAAGTATTAAAACGAAACAAAATTGATAGATTAAATACTAAATGAGTAGTTTACCCTAGATTTTAATTAATGGGGAGTTAAAACATGTCTAAATATTATATGAGATTATAAAAAAAAGAGTAAATTACAAAATTGATAACTAAACTTTACTCTCTCCTATTTTATTTATTGTACTTTAAATATTTTCAATTTCTTCACTGAACTTATTATATTAGGTTTTTTAGTCACTTAACCATTTCCTCATTAATGATGTTATAAATGGACTTTTATATAGATGCAAAATGATATCATTTTGGTAAAAAAGTTATTTTTTAAAAACGATATCGTTTTAACTTCTTTAACTATTTAACGATAGAGCGGCAAAAAATCCCAATGTTTTAATTTCAGTGAGGAAATTAAAAACTTTTACAGTTCAATGAATAAAATATGAGAGAGATTAAAGTTTAGTGATGAAATTTGTGATTTACCTTAAAAAATTAATTTTTCTATGAATTTTTTTAGTTTACCTCCGGTTCCAAGGCTTAGCCCTAACTAATCTGGATCAACTCGAATCGCACACTTGATTTTGGTGGATGAGTCTCATTATATACACAAAATCTCGAATCTAAAACTTTACTCAAACGATATTATGTTCAATACCACTTAAACTAATCCCCCCGTAATTTTCTATGAATTTAAAACTAGTGTGAATATGATTTTGATTATCAGTTGTAATTTTTAAATTTTTAAATAATAAAATATTCAAATACTATAATTTAGTTCAATTTTTAATTTGTTCGATTTTTTACCTAACCTTATTTATAACTTACAAGAGCTGGTTTTTTTTTTTTTTTTTTTGGGGGGGGGGGGGGGAAGGCAGTTTTGATGACTAGAGCAATGGAAGCAAAGATAGGCAAATTCTTCGAGCCGGTGACTAACTTCTTCTCCGGATCAGATCAGCTGATATCATTGCGGTAAGTGCTTTGCTAATTTTTCCCTCTAACTTTCAGATTTCCTTGGAGATTTTTTTTTATTTCCTTGCATTCTCGGGATTGAATTTTTGTTAGATTTCTGGGTTTTGGAATAGTTTTCAATATGTTTCGTGTTTCCCTCTCAAATTCGTTTTTCTCGGGGGTGAATGGCTTTGTCAATTTTAGAATAATTTCATGTAATATTTTTTAGATGAAACTTGGTAACTTTTAGTACGAATCGTCTGGTTTCAGATGTCGAATCCCTTTTGAGAGACGAATCCGATTACATGAACGACGATGATTCTTACAACCGCCACTCTATTTGTTTTACCCCAAGAATGTTAATTACAAGATTGATTACAGCATTATGTAGATGAAATAAAGAGCAGTAGTTGTCTTCAATAATCATCATGTTCTTGAGATGCTATCAGAAACTTGTGCTATCAGTTAATGTGGACAGCTTTTTAGTGTGTAGCTTACGGATGAAAGGATCGCGGGTGTTGTTTTCTTGTTATTTGAACTATTTTGTGGTTTACCCTTTTTCTTATCTACTTCTGAGATTTAATTCTCGATATGAGGCATGTGTAGTCATGTTCACCGCATCAAATTGTTTATAATATATATATACACACACACATCTTTTTTCTCTTGCATGATTAGATTTTAAGTTGTCAATCTGGGATAATGTTTAAAACCTGAATTTGTAGTTTGATGAGCTGACACTGAATGTCCCGACTTTGTGCACACTGGTAAGTATTATAGACATTGATTTGATATTTTCATTTTTGTCTTTAAAATCACCACCATCAGGGATGCGAAAAGGAGGCTGCTGAGGCTGATAAAGGTTCTGAAGAGTTAAAAAATGAATGTCTCATGCGATTTTCATGGGCTCTTGTTCACTCGCGACGATCTGAAGATGTACAACGTGGGATAGCAATGCTCGAAGGTCAAACTGAGTTTCAATATCCTTTTCATCTCATCTACCTTCAAACTTTCATTCAAATTTTCAGTTGAATGATCTCCGGGATAGAAACTTTTGAGTTTTATAAGTTTCCAAATTTGCAGAAAGGTTAGTTTAGGGAACTCCAATCTGGTTTCTGGTTGAGGAGTTTCATCCATTGCAACAATATGTTCGACCCCACAAGTGTCTATTTCAACACTTTCAAGTTGTGGAAGGCCTCTTGCGACTGAGGCCGGAAAGAGGCTTTTCAGACTCTCGCATCCGAAAGCATATACGGAAGTCAGATACTTGAAAGTGATCATTTCTTCAACGGAATAGCCACCCCAGCCTCGTTTTCATCGACATTGAGCCTTTCAAACTGAAAACTTATTCCAGTGAAGCACAACCAGTAATTACCAGGGCCTGCAACCTTCGAAATCTTTCTACCATATTAAATGGGAACACTGTCTGTAGCTGGGAACAGTTCTCGACTTCCATTGTTTTTAGTTCACAGAAGGAACTTTCAGGTAATTGATCATTCCACAATATTTTCAAGTTTCTCAACTGGGAGATTACCATCTTCTCCAGGCTAGGAAATGCTACCTGCATAATTGATTGTAACGAGACATCGTCATACATACAATTAGTCATTCATTTGATAAGAATTTGTGGAAAACAAACAAATAACTCACCTTTTCATCGAAGAGAGGCTGAATTCCTTTCTTCATGGAGTTGGAGATGAATGTCCCTAGCTTAGGACAATGCTCTATCCGCAATTGGTTCAAGGATGGAAACTGCACTGCTTTGCCTGAGCAAAATCTGGTCAGCCTTGGAAGGCCTTTTATCTTCAACGAACTAAGCTTCGGGAACACGATTTTCTCCATCCTTTCCTCTGTCATCGCTTCTTCAATGATTCCCGCCATTAACTTATAGTCACTTATTTCTAGATGGATCAATTGCTCCAGACTTGGTACCATAGAGGATGATAGTAGAAATTTCAGATTATCACAACCCTCCACAGTGATGGTGGTTAAGTTTTGAATGCAAGTAGGCACTGAAAAAAGCTGCTCCTGCCACATTCGTGATGCGTTAATAGACGACAATTTAAAATTTTGTAAACTGGGAATTGTGACCTGAAAAACGAAACAAAAGCCCCTTCTTTAGTTTCCTTGAGTAGAACATATATGCTGTAGTATCTATATATGTGTGTGTGTGTGCGCACCGAGTGTGCAAGTTTTTTTAACATGCAACGTATATGACAAATACCATAGTCTATAAAGAAGGATAAAATATTTCCTAAAAAATTTAAGCATTACACATAGCAAGGATCTTGGGTTTTGTTCTTAACTATTGTCTGAAATATATGGAAAACAATAGAAGTAGTACCTTTTCATTGAATAGTGCCACGGTCGTACTGCTTGCGTTGAAACCGATCAGCTTCGGTAGTTGTTGTAGTGTCAAGGGCCGCAGGTGCTCTAATTCAACTGTGGTTGTTGCTTCATCGTCACCAACATCACTTCCTCTTCCCTCTGTAATGATCCCTACCATGTTTCTGCAATCGGCCACTTGAATTTCTTCAAGTTGTTGAAGGCCTCTGGCAATGGAGAACGAAAACAAATGCTTCAATCTATAGCAACTTTCCACAGTTATCTCTCTTAACTTTGCAAAGGGTTGCATTTCGAGCTGAGCATTACGTATCCTCTCCAAGTTTACTAAATTCTGAAGATACAATGACTCCAAGACTGGAAAGGCAACAAGAGTAACCTCCTCAACCAAGTTAATGATGTGCCTCGTTTCCGGACCATTTTGGATATGGAGATACTTCAGTTGTGGAAAGCCTGTTCTACTCTCGTTGAAATTGTTTAAGAAATCCCGAACACTCTTCAGTTCATCAGATACAGATCTTCAGCTTTCTTTAACAGCATTTGACCCCATCATTCCTATGAATGCTATCATTGAGCTTAACCTTCAACATTCTTGAGGCTTCATGCTTGTCCGACCAATCCCACCTGTTTCCGATCAATATCTTGAATCTTTGCAACTTGTCCGAGAAGGTTCTCTTTGGCATGTTACTATAATCAGGGATATGCAAGTTTAAACTGGTTAGATCAGGCAACTGATTCAACTCACTGAGACTAGCATGACGCCCTGCAGTTTGTCCATCCTCCCATTGAGCGAAACTGTTACCGATGTGCATTTCTTCCAGTCGAGACAACTTTGATATTACATCTGGAGGAATCACGCTGAGTTTGGAGCAATTATCCAAGTTCAATACCTTTAGCTGAGTCAATTGACCTATTTCTTCAGGCAGCGCTTCTATGATGGAATCGTACAAGCTAAGGATTTCGGGTTTCTTCATCGTTTCAACCATTTCTATTTGTTGCAACAAGCATGATCCAAACATAATGTTTTAAGGTCCAACAAACCATGCAATGAAGGAAGCAACGACAAATTCTGCACTCCTTTCACATCTAAGACTTGCAATTCTTCCATCTTTGAGAAAAATTGATCAGTGATTCTCAAAGAAGGATTCTTGTTGTAAAGTTGAAAAGCTTTCAGCTGCAGCCATTCTAGCCGATCCGGAAGTCTAATGAAATCATTGTAGAACAGCGAGATTGCAGTCAAGTTTCTTAGCTCGGGATACAACAAATCTTTTGCTCCGATCTCGTTTCTCATAAAATACATACCCCTTCCTGGATGCTATTGATGCAGCGACATCGCGAATGACTTCATGCATTGCAAACTCCTTGGCCATACGACCATCAAATAATAAACATGTGGATTTGATGTACTGTACCAGTCTGTATAATCTCCGATGTGCTTCTTTCGTTGTTTCGTTTCCTCGAAGCAAACCGAAAGCCCTACTGTATTTCATCAAGTCGAAAATGGTAGCATTGTATGGCATGAGGCTACAAAGCTGGAAAGAAGATTTAAGTTCATCAGTTGCCAATTGATTGAAACTTGACTCTATGGCTGTGGAAAGACTTATTTGCAGTTTTGAAGCAGTTTCCCATTCAGAGGGAGGCGCCTTCTTCAAGTAATTTGCAGTTGTCACGATGGTAAGCGGCAACCCCCCACATCTTCTACAGGCATCAAGAGCTTTAGACTGCACATCGGCATCGTTAACACGATCACCAACAATTTTCTTAAACAGATTCCAGGCTTCGTCTTCTTTTAAAACATGAACCGGGAAGGATTTATCTGCATTCATTTCAAATAAGACATTGGGATCTCTTGATGATTCCAGTGCCTTGCACCCTCTATGCTGATGATCTCCGAATGGAATTCCGACTTCTTCCAATTTCAAACTCACCCACATGTTATCTAAAATCACCAAAACCTTTTTCTTCTTCCCCAATATAGTGCGCAGCTTGCTTGCTCTTGCATCTGGCGAGTCCCCTAGAGAACTGTCACCGATACACTCTGCAAGCTCTCTTTGAATGTTCTTAACATCTGGCGTCTTTGTTACATTTGCAAGAGCCACCCAATCAAACACCTCGTCCGCCTTAGCCATATTGGATACTCGATTGATGAGTGTGGTTTTCCCTACTCCAGCTTCACCATGCACGCCAATGACCTTCACAGTATCATCTTTTGATGCCTCCAAAATCAGGCTCAGAATGGACTCTCTCGAGTCGAAGGCCACGTAACTCTCCGATGGTGTCGCCCATCTCACCTTCGGGTCATAAGGTTGAGAAACTTTTTCTTTGAATTCCGTATGAAGATCCAGAAGCTTATCAAGGACATGTGCATCCTCCTCCGCTTTCTTGCTGAGGTCGTAACGGTACTTCAAATTAGGACACCAGCCAAAGAAGCACTTGGGGTCCTCAACTGCGTTTTTGTCAGACTCCTTAACCTTGGGTTCGGCTTCTTTCTGCCACTCCATCACACACTGAATGATTGCTTCTCCTTTTCCGTTGGCATCGTCAACGGTACGTGCACCATTTCCCATGCAGTCTTCAGTATGTTAAATTTATGGTCACGGCTCTCAGCCTCTCTTGTAGGAAAAGATGAAACCAAGTTCACGTTTGAGCGGTTTGAAGATAGCAAGAACAACGTTCCAAGCTACACTAACAGGAGGAACAAGCTCCATTCCACTTATTTTTCAGTGACTAAAAATAATTGTTTTGTGGGGAAAAGCAAGAAAAAGGCAGTAAATCTCAAGCTACTAATTAGGCAATGAATATATAGGAAGGAAATGCAGTAAATTTCAAGCTGCCATTGTTCTTTTCTTACAGCCCCATCATCTTTGTTTTTTGGGTAGGAAATCCCTTGCTTTTTCATTGTTCATTCCATTAATTGCTGTTAGTTTTTCGAAAATGTGAATTTTTCTTTTCTTGCTCTTTAACAGTCTTACTTGATACCCGAACTGACGAATATTTCACATTTATTGTTTGCTTCTAGTATCCTCAGTGTGACTTAATAGGGCATATGAGCCAGGAAGCAATGCCAACAGAAAGTGAAAGGGTTATTATCACAAATACAAGACAAAAAGAGGGTTGGACACCGTATACACCATAGTAGACAAATAAAAGTACATAGTTCAGTAAATTTCAAGCACCGAATCTCAAACTCTCTTTACAAATTGACCCTCATAATAGAGAACTAGTATCTTCTCCTAGGACTCCGAGAGTGATTTGTCCAGCCGGCTCTGCAAGATAAAGAGCATTGTTAGATTAATGCACCACAGGTCATATCCAACAGCTAAAAGTATATATTGTCAAACAGCAGGACCATTGCATTAGCACCAAATCAGCAATAACATCTCATTGTGGTTTGAGTTGGATCAGTTAAGTATAGCGGAATGTAAGCATGCAGGTCAAAGAAAAAGTTGTCATTAAGCATGCTTTTCGCACAAAGTCAAATCAAATTAGTTCTAAAGGAAAAGAAAATGCTTAGGCCAAGTTTCAAGAATCGGGCTAGGTTGCCTGGCACGTGACATGTCCATTCAATTAGGCTGGGTTGTTCTTACACTCAAGTCATTCAAATTTGGATTGCTTTGGTTCAAGGCTTAAAATGTTATAAATTTAACTCAAGTTCAGTTGGGTTCATTCACTGATTCTAAATGATATATATATAACAGATCATGTAACAGTCAAAAAGCATATTGATAGAGACAAACCTCATAGTTTTTCTCTTGGAGGATCCAATACTGGGTCCATTACTGAAGGTCCAATCAACATTGATAATCTGTGTAAGAAGTTCTGCTCCATCCATTGCAGATATGGCATTCTTTGCTTCTTCAAACTTTTCGTATTCAATGAGTGCATATCCCTAAGCGGAAACACACATTAGTTTTACCTAAACAAAATTATGCAATACTAGGAAAGTACTGCAAAGAAGGCAAAAATTAGTCAAAGAATTTCCATTTAGTTTCTTATCTTCAATCAATGCTATCCAATAAAATTATTGTAATGTGTCAAACCAGTATCAAGTAACAACTTAAAGCGGTTAGAAACACTAAACTTGTAATACCCCACATTCTGTAGTGACTAGGACTATTACATACAAGTTCTGTATTAAGACAAATGTGAGTGCAATTTATTTATTTAATTATTATGATTGAGGACGACTTGTGATAAGTCAATCTCACCTTGTTTATTTTTAAAGATATGAATTATGTTTTGATTTTGGAAATATATATCCGTAATATTTTAATAAGTTTAATGAATGATTTTAGGTATGAACTGCCCATGTCATATTTTATGAATGTGAATTAAATATATTTCTAATTCTGATATGATTTTTATTAAATGATTTCAAAATGAATTGAAAGCCCATTGTATGTTATATTGAGAGTCAAAGGTACAAGTGGCATGCCATGAGGTGGAGTGATTATTTGTTCTGATTCTGATATTCTGTGGTGTACCAGAGTGTACACTAGTATATATATTCCGATATGAATGCACTTTGTGTGCATGTTGTTATTTCCAATGTGATAACACTGTGTGTGCTTATCTGTTCCGATTCTGATAATGGAACTGAGATCTGTATTGCGTACACTCGTCTGACTCACGTACCTTATATTCTCTTAAATATAATCTAGGCTATAAAAATGAAATATGAAAGTTCTGAAAAGTGTCTAACTATAAAGGAATGTTGACTGATTATTCTGTCTGATATGATTTATTATGATTTTATGAAAATTATCAGATAATTCTTTTCTGGTTTCCTGTTAAAGAAACATCATGAGATATCTGGTTTGAATGTTATGAAAGTTTTGTCTGTTTTATTTTAACTGATTTTATATATTTTGACACTTTATTTATTTTTTCTCACCTTTAGTATTACTGTCTCACTAAGTTATACTTAGCGCGTAATGATTTTCATGTGTAAGTTCTGATTGAGACACAAACGTTTTGTGAGGAGCTTCCCAAGCATCGTGTGAAGATCATTTATAATATCAGTATCAGTAAGACATCACTGATGTTTCTTTTAACTAGTAGTGGCATGTATATTTATGTTATTAACCTGTTTTATCAGTTATGACTAAATGGTCTATAATAATAAATTTAGTACTGTTTAATTTGACTAGTTTAGTTTATCAATATTTTGGTATGCCTGAATATAGTAGTTAAAATATTATGTTTTTAAATGGTATAGAAATTTAAGTAGAAAAAAATAGTTTTAAAAATTGAAATTAGGAATGCTTTAAAGGAAATAAATTTTTAAGCAATTGTGAATATTGATAGTTAGTTAGTTTGATGTGACATCTATGATTCGTATTCTTAGATGTTTACGGACAATGGATGTTACATTTATTGGTATCAGAGCTGTAGGTTTAGTCGATTCTCGGCGTAAACAGAACCTATGTTATATAAGAAATATGTATATGTCACTAGGACGTCGAAATTACTGATATGGTATGATCTGATGATTTTATTTATGATGTTGCTCTTTACTAACGTAAATTTATGATTTTGTTTAGATGTCAGGTTCAGAAGGCATAAAATGGGCCACTGAACAAGAGGTTCCTGAGGGAACCAGTACTAGGAGTATTAATGAGGTAGAGTACGTACCTCATTGACAGGGAGAGCATGTACATCAAGGAGTACCCGATCTAGATCAAGGAACGTTTTTACAAGCTCTGGAGGATATCCTGGCTCGATATCAGCCGGTAGCAGCACCACTTTTTCTTTCACCTCCATCTCTTCATCTAGTTCTGAGAATATCAGTTCCAAAAGAATTAAAAAGTTTATGATCTGCAGAATTTAAAGGCGAATAAAACAAAGGCCCAGTAGTGGCAGATATGTGGTTGAATAATGTAAAAATAATGTTGGACGTTCTTCATTGTTCCAAGGATGAAAGATTGGATGGAGTAGTTTCACTGTTACGAGGCCAGGCTCAAAAATGGTGGACGAACATGACGACACGTGTTCCTTCAGATCAGATCAGATCACATAGTAGTTTTTTTAGAAGTATTTCAAAAGTATATCGGAGAGCAGCTTATTACTCAGATGAAGTATGATTTCTTTAATATGATTCAGGGTGTTAAATCTGTGTACGAGTATGAATGTGAGTTTAATAAACTTGCTCGACATGCCTCGGTGATGGTTCCCACTAAAAGAGACATGTCAGAAATTTATTCGAGGTCTCCGTCCCAGACTCAGGGAACTTCTATTGGCTACGAACTTAACCACTTTTCAGGAAGTGGTGAATAAAGCAAAAGATTTGGAAATGACGCAAAATGAAAGTTATATGATAAAGAAGAAATGACAATCTAAAGATCATGAGCATCATCCTCGTTTTAGTCTAAAAGAGCTGCTATCGGTATCAAAATAAATCTGAAAGTGGTGCTTCTGGTCATAAAAGATCATAAGCAAAAAAAAAGCCTGACAGACTCAGATGACAACTTCAGTAGCCATCAGATTAGCTCAATCACAGGATCAAATGTTAGCATGTCAGCATTGTGGTAAAAATTACCCTGGAGTTTGTAGAATGAAGACATGAGCCTATTTTCGTTGCAGAGATACCGATTATTTTGTCAGAGACTACCATTTAGAAGAGGAGAGATCAGTACAGACCAAGAGGTTTGTAGCGATGTCTCAGAGAGGCGGTAGAGGCAGAGGTAGAGAGAGGGGATATTCAGAGACAACCTCCCAATCCAATGTGCGTGCTCCAGTGAGAATTTATAATATCAAGACTAATGAGGATCGTGATGACCCAGAGATCATAACAGGTACTTTCTATCTTTATGATGAACCTGTATTTGTTTTGATTGATCTGAGTTCTACGCATTCTTATTTTAGTTTGGAATTAGTTAAAAATAAAAATATTCCGTTAGAACCCATCAATAGTGATATGATAGCTATTAATCCACTGGGTCATAGTGCTAGTGTTACACAGATTAATAGAAATTGTCCGATCAAGATTCAAGGAGTTGTATTCCCGGTGAATCTTTTGAAGTTAGCGTTTGACGAGTTTGAGATTATATTGAGCATGGATTGGTTATCTCAGCCTTATGGTTGGGTAGATTATCGTATTAAGCAACTATTTATAAAGGATGTAGAGGGCATCGAGATAATATTAATAGGAGAAGAAATGAGATCTTTGCCCAATATGATATCAGCAGTGACGACAACGAAAATGGTGGAAAAAGGTTGTACAACTTTCTTAGCAAATGTGATTGATACCCGGACATCTGAAATTCGATTGGAGGATATTCCGACAGTTTGAGAATTTCTAGATGTATTTCCTGATGAATTACCCGGATTACCTCCTGATCGAAAAGTGAAGTTTAAAATTGATATTTTCCCAGGTACTGCACTTATTTCAATGTCTCAGTACAGGATGGATCAAACAGAACTCAGAGGATTAAAGGCGCAATTACAGGAGCTACTTGATCAAGGTTTTATTAGACTGATTGTATCTCCGTGGGGTGCACCAGTACTTTTTGTTAAAAAGAAAGATGGATCGATGCGATTATGTATATATTATCGTAAACTGAATAAAGTGAAGTAAAGAATATTCATGAATTTGGATGAGTTTTTTGAGAAGTTGGAACTTATAATGGAAATGTGATTTAGTTGATATCGATTTAATCTCGATTTTTATTTTTATAGATTTTCGAATATTAAAATCAGCTTATGTTAGTACGATACTAATATTTAGTTCAAGCATTTTGTGTTATAATTTGGTATTGTAAGACTACGATAAATTTAGCAATTCGAATGATCCGAAAGGAAATGACAAAGCTCGTGACTAGGACTATTATATACAAGTTCTATAGTGAGGCAACTATGAGAGCAATTTATTTATTTAATTATTATGATTGAGGACGATGATATGTTAACCTCACCTTGTTTATTTTCAAAGACATGAATTATGTTTTGAATTTGGAAATATATATCCCTAATATTTTAATAAATTTAATGAATATTTTGGGTATGAACCGCCTATGTCATGTTTTACGAATGTGAATTAAATATATTTTTGATTCTGATATGATTTTTACTAAATGATTTCGAAATGAACTGAAAGCCCAATGTATGTTATATTAAGAGTCAAAGGTACAATTGGCATGCCATGAGGTGGAGTGATTATCCGTTCTGATTCTGATATATTGTGATGTACTGAAGTATACACTAATATATATTCCGATCTGAATGCACTTTGTGTACATTTTGTTATTTTCAATGTGATAGCATTGTGTGTGCTTATCTGTTCCGATTCTGATGTTGGCACTGAGATCTGTATTGCACACACTCGTCTGATTCGTGTACCTTATATTCTCTTAAATATACTCTAGGCTATAAAAATGAAATATGAAAGTTCTGAAAAGTGTCGGACTATAAAGGAATGTTGACTAATTATTCTGTCTGATCTGATTTATTATGATCTTATGAAAATTATCAGATAATTATTTTCAGGTTTCTTGTTAAAAAAACATCATGAGATATCTCATTTGAACGTTCTAAAAGTTTTGTCTGTTTTATTTTAAACGATTTTATATATTTTGATACTTTATTTATTTGTTCTCACCTTTAGTATTACTACCTCACTAAGTTATACTTAGCACGTGATGATTTTCATGCGTAGGTTCTGATTAAGACACAAACATTTTCTAAGGAGCCTCCCAAACATCGTGTGCAGATCATCTGTAATATCAGTATCAGTAAGACATCACTGATGTTTCTTTTGACTAGTAGTAGCATATATATTTATGTTATTAACATTTTTTATCAATTATGACTAAATGGTCTGTAATAGTAAATTTAGGACTGTTTAATTTGACAAGTTTAGTTTATCAGTATTTTGGTATGCTTGAATATATAGTAATTAAAATATTATGTTTGAAATGGTACAAAATTTTAAGCAGAATAAAAATAGTTTTTAAAGTTGAAATTAGGAATGTTTTAAAGGAAATAAATTTTTAAGCAATTGTGAATATTGATCGTTAGTCAGTTTGATGTGACATCTATAGCTCGTATTCTTAGATGTTTACAGGCTATGGGTGTTACAAAATTGCTCAATATCTTATGATAAAACATAATCTATATACCCTAATGCATATAAAAAACATAAAAACAAAAATGTTAAACATGCAGATATATAGACTAAACATTTCAAACACAGAATCACATACACACATATATGCATGTACAAACAAACACATGATTGCCCAAACCACTACTCACTACGAGAGCTACACCAATTTACTACATTGCTCACCTTGACAAATCCAGCGCGACGATCAAGATTTAAATGCAAGTTCTTGACCTCACCAAATTCACCAAATGCGTTGTGCAAATCATCCTCTTGTGCTTCCTCGTGTACACCAATGACCAAGATTATCCATCCTTCAACAGCTGCAAGTTTATCAATGATAAATAAAATATTACTACGGAGAAAATAGTTTACAATGAAGGAAAAACTTATTTCATTCGTGAACAAATCAAGGGCCATCCACAAAAAGGTTGCAATTCTTTAAAGTAGTTGGACAAGCCGAAGATTTCTAAGAATACGACATGAAATGTCTAGCGCACTCAATTTGGTGCTTGAAACATGGAAAAGCAGGTAATGTTGCTGTCCTCAAGGAAGAACATATGCCTTTAAACATCAACAGTGAAGAATCTTGTTATGTTTCTTTGTTTGGGTTTATTGTCCTTGATAGCGGGTTCTTATACAACCCCCACATGATGTTCCAACGAAATTCCAAATTCAAGAATACATGATCAATCCCTATTCCATTCTTCCGACAAAAGAATAAAGTTCTCAAAAAATGACCCTAAAGCCAAATTCTCAACAATCACCCTAAACCCATTTACACAAAATGATATTACACCTTACAGTTTTTCGGATGCTCATGTAATGTGAGCCAGAAAACTCATGAAGCATCTGCCATTATTTGTGTTCTAGTCTCACTAATGGCCAAAGAATTTAATCAAGCGTCCAACAAATCCATGAATTTGAGAAATAATTGTGAATATTATATGCTCTTCATCAAAAAACAAAAACTTGAACTGTTTAAGCTCCCAATAGCAAGCCACAGTATTTTATATTGAAATGCTTCTTCTCACTAAGATTAGCCTTTTAAACCATTTAGCTATCAATAAGTTTTACTTGCAACTATTAACAAGTAAAGAACTTAAGAAAAAATAACACTAACTTCTTATAGATACTCACAAATCACAACCATCACACAAAGAAACGAAATCAGAATCCTACTCAAGCTTTAACATTAAGCCGCACTATCAGAACTCTCAACTAATTTAAACCAAAATTATTCTAAAATCAGTGAACAAAATTTTAGACCAGTTTCGAAAATTATCTTACCTTATAGGCCATAATATTCTGAAGAAAAAAATGAATAAATGAAACAACATAAATAGAGAAAGAATTAGGGTTTAGAGAAGGGACTAACATCTCTGGGACCGAGACCATCATCAGAGCCGAGAGAGTCGAACTCGCGGAAGGCAAGATAGGAGTGACGGTCGGCGTCGTCAAGATGGAAGCCATGACCTTTAGTCTTCTTAGGGTTTAGAGAAGCGCCGCCAGTGATGACTGACTTTAGCTTAGGCATAGAGGCTTGGTGAGAGGCGGCGTTGCTGTTGGAGTCCTCGTCCATGAGGTCGTCGTCCTCCGGCTCGAAATCTACGTCCTTCATATCTGCACTAGTCAGGGAATGTATAAGGAAAGGGAGATTAATATACCGCTAAGAAACTGTGTAACCAGAAATTTAATAAGATACTTAACAAAGTCAATTAAACGCTATCGAAAATGTTAAATAATAATAATGTTGTAGGTGGAAAACATGAAGAAATATTAAAAAATTTAATAACCGGCAATCTTTGTTAATTTGCATGTATTAATATTGTGCATAGTAGTATCGATATATATAGTAGTATATAAGAAAGTGAAGAAAATCAGTTAAAAGTAGACATGTGTCGATACCTTTATAAATATATGTATAAAAGTATCGGTACTTTAGTAATTTAAAAGAATTGCAATAAAAACGTCAATAAAGTATTAATACCTTACACACATGTATCGATACTTGACAATATAACAGGTTGAAATTTGACAAATCTAGTTTTAATTTGACAAAACATGTAACGAATTTGACAAAACCGATTGGAAATTGACAAAATCAATTGAAATTTGACAAAATTGATTTTAATTTGACAAAACCGATAAAGAGCTACCAAAATTATTGAAATTTGTATTGATACGTTTATAAGTATATGTACCAAAGTATTAGTACTGTAAGAATTTAAAAGAATTACAATAATAATGACCACAAAGTATCGATACCTTACACACATGCATGTATCGATACATGACAATATAACATGTTGTAATTTGACAAAATCGGTTTCAATTTGACTAAACCGGTAAATAACTATCGGATTTGTTGAAATTTGTATCTATACGTTTATAAGTATATGTATCAAAATATCAGTACTTTAGGAATTTAAAAGAATTGCAATAATAGAGGATATAAAGTATCAATACCTTATAAACATGTAATCGATACATGACAATATACCATGTTTAAATTTGACAAAACCAGTTTCAATTTGACTAAACCGGTAAAGAGTTATCAGAATAGTTGAAATTTGTATCGATACTTTTATAAGTATATATACCAAAGTATCAATACTTTATGAATTAAAAAATTACAATAATAGCACCTATAAAGTATTAATACTTTCGACACATGTATAACATGTATATACATGAAAATATAACATGTTGAAATTTGACAAAATCAGTTTCAATTTGACAAAATCGGTAAAGTGTTACCGGAATTGTTGAAAGTATCGATACATTTATAAGTATATGTACCATAGTATCGATATTTTAGGAATTTAAAAGAAATGAAAAAAGAAAAACGTCTCGATACATTTTACGTATCGATACTTTATATATGTGTATCGATACATTTTACGTGCAAATTGTTTAAGAAGCATATTGGAATAAAAGTATACATACCTATATAAAAGTACGATACTTGGAATTTCGAACCTATTACATTAAATAGGTCAATTAACAATGTAAACGGTAAAAGTCTATATGTATATTGATAATAAGGTAAATACCAAGTATCAATACTTTTATATAGGTATGGATACTTTTATTCCAATATGATTCTCAAACAATTTGCACTAAAATGTATCGATACACATATATAAAATATCGATACTTATAATTTCGAAACCTATTACTTTAAAGTAATAGATAAATTAACAATGAACACAATAAACATTTCTATCGGTTTAATGAAAATAGATGTAAATGTCCAAGTACCGATACTCATATACAAAGTATCGGTACTTATAATTTTAAAACTATTACTTTAAAGTAATATGTATATTAACAATATACACGGTAAACGTTTCTACCGGTATAATGAAAATAGACAATGTCCAAATATCGATACTCATGTATAAAGTATCGATACTTATAATTTCGAAACCAATTAATTAAAAGTAATAGACAAATTAATAATGTATTCGGTAAACGTTTCTACCAGAAATATGAAAATAGGTGTAAATGTACAAGTATCGATACTGTCATATAAGTATCAATACTTATAATTTCGAAACCTATTACTTTAAAGTAATAGGTAAGTTAACAATGTATACGGTAATATGTTGATAATATTAAAAACAATTTAAATAATTAACCTATTTTGTTATTGTCGGATTTCTAAAGCCCTATCAGCTTTAAATAAGCGCTACCTAATACATTAAATAAGCGCTACTTGTTATGTTATTATGGTTAATAATGTTTCTAGTAATTATCCTATTTTGTTATCGTTATATTTCTAAGGCTCTATCAACTTAAACTTTAGTAACATTTTAGGCGCTACCTAATATGTTGATAATATTGATAACAAATTAAGTAATTAACCTATTTTGTCATCGTTGAATTTCTAAGGCCTCGTCAGCTTTAAAAAGACGCTACCTATTACATTAAACAAGCGTTACCTGTTATGTTATTATGGTTGATAATATTTCCAGTAATTAACCGTTTATGTTAAAGTCAAAAAAATTTTGCGCATTTTACATACAACAATGATATTTTCGGTTATTACCATTATTATTACGAACACAAATAATATTTCCGGTGAAAGTATATAACATTTACGGTAACGCTTTTAACCGGCCACCCATTTAATCAGTCACACAATTTTTTAACCGTCTCACAGAAGAACTTCCCACTAGTCATCACTTCTTTACGTGCGATTCTTCGCTTTATTTACTATCACAAGATGTAAATTTTCTTTTGTCCCCGGAGTCCAAGGTGATTGAGGTTTTTATAGTAGACCAAGAATTTAACTCAAATTAAAACCCAAATTATGAACATAAATGTGATGGCAATTTTACCCTTATACCACTATATATATATATATATATATTGTAAAGAAAGGCTAAAACATTAACGTCAAGCGTTCATAGAGCCCGACAAATCTTCTTGTAACAGTGCAATTATCTCCACATGAAGAACCGGAAACTTGAGACATGAGTATAAACTTTTATCTACTAATTTCGTCATACGATAACCGTTCGATTACCAATTCGAAGGACACGTTGGAACCGTACCACCCAATTCTTGTACAACAATTATGCAACATGGTTCAGGATTGTAATTCTATTACTACCATTTTTTAGCTTGCTATAACATAGTCGTGACCTCCAAGTTGTCAACTTCAACGAATACTTGAATGCTCCCCAGCTTTCGTGGACAAACAAACCGATGTAAGCACTCGGGCTGTAAATGAGTCGCGACAGATCGCGAGTTACTCGAGATCGACTCGATCAAGTCTCGATAAATACTCGGATCGAATGGAATCGACTCGAGTTCTTAACGAGCCGAAATGAGCTACTCGATATTCCACTCAAAAAGCTCGTGAGCAACTCAAAAAAATATTATATTATAATTTTAGATTTTTTAAAATTACATTATAATTTTTTTTTAAAATATATTATTGATAATTATAAAATTTTAAAATTATATTAAAAATTCTATAATACAACTACCTCAAATTTTAATTTTTTTTAATTAGGCAACCCAAGTCCAATTGTTACATTGTATATTATTAAAAGAAAAATAAAAGCCCATTTAATTAAGCACATGTTAGATTACACCCTAAACCTTAAACCCTAAGCCCTAAATCCTAAATCCTTAACCTGATTATGTGATAGGGTATTAAAAGAAAAATAAAAGATCATTTAATTAATCACATGTTAGATTACACCCTAAACTATAAACTATACACTACACCCTAAATCTCAAACTCTAAACCCTAAACCTTAAAACCTAAACACTAAACCCTAAATCTTTAATCCGATTATGCGATAGGGGTTAAGTTATGCACATGAAGGTAACATATAAATTATGCAAAATGAAATTAATGAAATTAACAAGGGTTTATATGTAAATAAACTAATAAATCACACTTGGTCAAATCAATAAATAGGTTCATTATCAAAACAAAAGGCGATCAAAACATCAATTTTATTTGATTGTTACATCTTTAATTTCTCAAAAACAATTACTTTGATTAAACAATTCATTTGTTCATTTGAAAAGGTCATGCATTTTTTAGTCTTAATTGTCAAGAGACCTAGAGATATCTCTATTACAATAAGAAGGAAACATTTTATTTTAATTGATCATATCTCAATATATGATTCTCATTATATATGAATTTGATTTGTATCTTATACACATATTTATCTTTTGAATATCAATCAAACTTAATATTAAGCCCAATATATTATTATGCCCATAATAATAATCAATTCGACTTTAGAATAATTAATAATATTATTTAAGGAGAATATTATATAATAAAAATACAAATGATTATAATAATAAATTTAATTATCAAAATATTATGTCTATATAATATGCACGAAATTATTACTAACAAGAGGATGTTATCAGAAATATTATGCCTTTGAATGAATACAGACCAGTTGCTTGCAATAAGCTTAGGCAATAACTTTTTCATTCTAGCAACAAGATGCACTTGTAGATGACTAAACAACAATAATTTGAACGAAAATGTTTCATGCAACTAGGATTAGGAAAACCATAAGGGATTGGTGCATTTCCTCCATCTTGAGAAAACATTGCATACTTGATTTACTGCTCACCAATAGATCTGTTTAGATCCACTTGATCTTTAGAACAAAGACTGCACTGCAAAAGCTATTGTAACATCTCCATTGATGTAATGTAACATTAACTTCATGATCAGAGGAATTTCGAACCATTCTACCGACCCCTACAAGATATGATGTGGATAATGAAAATCTTAACCTGAAACTAATGCCAAGAAAGAATGGGAAAAGGAAATGTACTTTCTTCCTTGATTTTGTTCTGTCTTTGTTAAATAGCTAAATTATAACTGCTAATGCAGGTGCGCAAGAGACCTTTGAACAAAAAGGAAATGACAAAGAAAGAAGAAGATATCATTACTATACAGTCAAATTCCAATGCACTAACGGTTCATGAAAAAAACTAAAGGTGAGTAGTTGGCAGGGCTTCCTCTTTTTCCTGCAGTTATTGCTATGAACTGCGATGTTTATGTTTGGATTTATTCGTTTGGTGCACTCACTAACTTGAGCTTCTAACCCATCAATCATGTCATGCTATAGCATTTTCAAGAGATTACTTGTTTAAAATCAGAAACAAAGTTGATTGCTCTTTGCTTTGATTTTCATCGAAAACCCATACTAACTTTTTATATAAAAGTCTCAATCTCCACCATCCTTATACGATTTATTGATTTATTGATTGATCTTGAATGCAACTCGAAGTTTATAAATCTAAATATTTACAGAGCATAAAGGATAGGAAGAAAGTAAAAGTAAAAGATGCTCCATGGCTGGGAAGATAAGGTGGCGCTATTGCGCAGAAAAAGTCTCCTTGTTAGTCTAAAGCCTTTTGAATTTATATCCCACACCGGACGCTGAAGAGAGTAAGAGCACTGGAGTCAGTTATAAAACGAGTGAACTAACTCCTGTGTTAAGTATATCTTTCTCAGCCTTTTGGCTAAGATCAAGTGTAGTATGTGTTTATTAGCTTAATATCTTATACGTAGGCTAATGGCTCATACGATATTAAATTTATTTTTTGAGGGTGAGAACCTTTCATAGTAGCTTGCTGATTGAGCTTGAATCGAACTTTTGAATTTTTTTTTATATCGAGCTTTTTGAGTTCGAGTCGAGTTTTAATATTATCTTTCGAGTTTGAGTCGAGCTTGAAAATTTTAGGCTTGCGAATTTTCGAGTCGAGTTTATATATAAAGTTTTCTAGTTCGAAACACCCCTAGTAAGCACCCCACATTTCAGCTTCATTGACAGTACATATGCCAATGAACTTCGCAAACCCCATTTGCCATACACTCGCATGATTCCTCAGGGCACCATCACATGACGAAAGCCCGGATTCATGACGTCCAACCCCATCAGAATTGATTTTCAACCAGCCTATCGGATGGCAACGCCACACTCTTGATCCAGCACTCGAACGCAATTGGGAACCCCGGTGAATCTGTTCCATCACTAAAGCCCTAAACGCCAGCTCAACAAATTGTCTACTTTTAACCAAAATGGGTCGAGAGTTCACCTCGGGTGCATCAAACGTAATCGCGGTGTAACCAAATATCCCAAACAATGGCTCCAGACATAATATCCTAATTCTCCGATTGAGAGAGAACTCTTTCACTTTCCCAAGATTCATTGTTATCTAATCATGCATGTCCATGCCAAGGAACTCATCCAATATTTTCGGTTTAACCACCGTAGACGAGACCGAGACGGTCAATAAGCATAACCGCACTACATGATTTAGATCTTCCACTTGAGCGTTGCATAAAGAACAACTTTGTCTGATGAAAAATGTCTAACACGCTCTACATTCGTCATCACCCGATCACAGCCGATCCACCACAAGAACATATATCTTTACTTTTTGAAGACCTCAAGACTTGCTGATCGTAGTCCAAATGGCGTCCCGGACTCTCATAGGCAGATCAAATAGAGAAACATCGATCCACATGAAGACACCAACTTACCTCGTCCTCATTGAACTACAACAATGATCTCCTTTTGGAAGCTAATTTTAACAAAATTGTGTGAGAGAGAAACGGTTCGATAAGATTCTATTTCTAGTTCCCCTCCCCATCAACCATGTCTGCTACCGTCAAACGATGTAAACCAGACGCGCCAGCTGACGTTACATGGTTTATTAAAGGGCCACAATCCTCAAGCCATGCATCAAACCAACTATTACCTACACATCAACTGATATGTTATTGAACATCTGTCCAAACACACGATAACCCTTGCCAAAGTTTGGAACAATTAGTGCGTTGAATCTCGACAGGAATCAAGTCAGTACACCGATACCCAACACTGATCTCTTTTGGCTAAAATATTAAACGCAGGCTTTATAAGAAACACATAATTTTACTGAGCAAGATTCCGAAATCGCAAAACCCCCTTTTTTAATTGGGCAACATACAGTTTGCCAGTTGACTAAATGAACACCACGTTTGCCTTTCGTACCACCTCAAATAAAACATCGCATGATCTTCTCAATCTCTGTATACATCCGTTTTTGTCGGTTATTTTCTCGGTATATCACCGGTGATTGGTATTATTATCGATCTAACACCGGTCAGACTATATTTCCCGATTTAACATCGGTCAGACTATATTTTCCGATCTTACACCCTTAGCAGGAAAACGCGCCCCCTGCACCGCGCTATATGCTGATTTGGCGCCACGTGGGTATAGCGCGCCCCCTGCCCCGCGATATACGGTGATCTGACGCCACGTGGGTATAGTGTGCCCCCTGATCCGCGCTATACCTGGATATCTGACACGTGGGGTATAGCGCGGTGCAGGGGGTGCGCTATACCCCTAATTACCAACCCTTCACGTCCCCATCCTCCCTATAAATACCCCCATCCTCAATCACTTTTATCACACCAAATTCTCTCAAATTCTCTAAATTTCTCTCAAATACTCTCTTTTTAAGGTATGTTTTATAATATTTTTACTATTATGTTTTTATTTTATTTAATATTTTACTAATATAATTCTTTTACAGATATATAATGGAAGGCAGTCTACTTCGCTCGGATGGAAATCATATATCTACACTTTGCTGATACGGTAACATTTTAACGTTTTAATTTAATTTAAATTATTAGTAATATTTAGTTGATTTATTTAATGCATGATTATTAGATTAAGAATTAAATATCTCGACACTTTACTGATACAGTAACATTTTAACGTTTTAATTTAATTTAAATTATTAGTAATAATTAGTTGATTCATTTAATGCATGATTATTAGATTAAAAATTAATTTCTGTAATTATTTATTTTTAGGAGAAGGAACGTGTATTAGATCATTTTATTAGGAATCTTAAGTTAGTGATACCCAGCCTTGTCTTGTCGTATTTAGTAGAGGCTGGATTCGGTTACATAGGTAGATATCAGGGTCACTGTAAGATAGAGCCAGACCTGATTTCTGCCTTAATAGAGCGGTGGAGGCCGGAGACCCACACATCCCATCTTCCGTGCGGAGAGTGTACGATCACGCTTGAGGATGTTTCTATGCACCTGGGGCTTCCGGTGGATGGAGATGTGATATCGGGGATAGCTTCCGGTTCTTGGACTACTTTGTGTCGGGGTAGTCTAGGACGTGTCCCGGAAAATTTTATCGGAGGTAGGATACCGTTAAATTGGTTAGATGCCAATTTTCGGGAGTTGAGCACAGACGCCTCTGAGGATGAGGTTAAGATGTATCCACGGGCATGCATACTGTAGCTGATAGGAGGGTTGTTGATGCCGGACAAATCGCACAACCTAGTTCACTGCATGTGGTTGCGACATCTTAGCGACTTTCGTCTCGCCGAATCATTCAGTTGGGGCTCGGCAGTTTTGGCTTTGCTGTATAGGGAGATGTGTGGAGCCACTGACTACAAGCGTAATGCTATCGAAGGATGTCTCCTACTGCTGCAGTCTTGGGCATGGTATCGATTGCCCTTTTTATGTCCCGTTGTAAAGAACCCATTCGTATTTCCAATACTTCTGAGGTAATTATAAAACTAATTTTGTATATTAATAATTTTATACATCGTATAACAAATTTTTTTCCTTGAATAGGGGGTCTATTGATAGGAAAAATCATCAGGAGCTACCTGATGATTTAGAAAAAATTAGGGTGCTAATCGATCAGAAAGCTGACACACAGGTATGAATTTTAATGTTTAAAAATCGATTTTAGATTATAGTTATATAATTAGATTATTATTTTGATAAAAATTATATATTATTTGTTTTAGTTTGAATGGGTGCCATATTCTACTGATGATGTGAGGGCGGTGATCCCACCTGAGTTGAGGGGTCTATCAGATGTTTGGATGGCGATGGTCCCTCTGATCTGTTATGCGACCGTCGAGTGGCACTCCACTGATCGCGTGCTCCGACAGTTTGGTTGTTTTCAACCAATTCCGGAAGCACCTCGCAATATGGACGAGTTGCATAGCTTAGATAGACGCGGCAAGACAGATACAGATTGGCTGGTGAGGCATCATGAGTGGGTCGTGTTGTGGGAGGATCGACATCGGTGCCTTCCACGTAGAGAGCCCATTTTTACTGACTTCTTGATGTATGCTGAGGATTATTATGAGTGGTTCAACAGTAACGGGAAACCATTTCTACTTCTCGATGATGCACGAGGGAAGACCTTTCCACGACGTTGACAGAGACGTTCACCGACACAGCACCATCGTCCCCCGACTCATGAACGGAGAGCAGGTGCTTCCGATTCATCCTCAGCTGCACCAACAGGACCTTCCCAGCAGCCATCGTAGCCATATATGATGCCACAACCATATATGATGCCTCCATCGCCTTTCCATTACCAGATGCTGCCGCCGCTGCCTTCACCTGGTTTTATGACCCCGCCACCGCCACCGTCACAGATAACCCCTCCTGGAGGCTATTATAGATCTATGTTTGCAGATCCGACTTGGGGTTCATATGCTGGATATTTGGCGGGGTCATCCTCATCACCCATGGCCGCAACACAGACACCTCCTGTACAGTTTTCACACTCAACGATGTCTGGGGTTTCCCAGTTTTCGCATGCTGGTGGGATAGTCAGTCATACACCTCTAGGGTCCTTATTCTATGGAGGTGCTTCATCGTCATCAGCTCCTCATCAACCTGATGTACCTGCTCAGGATGACGACGATGATGATGACGACAATGACGACGACGATGACTATGATGCTGACAGCGAGGAGTCAGAACCTGTGATACGAAGAAATCCTCCTCAAGACCGATAGCCACCGCCATGCGGAACACATTCGCGATGCAGGCATCGATAGATTTTTTTATTATATTTGTATTTACTTTATTTTGTTTAATTGTAAATTTTTATTATTTCTCATTTAATACTTACTTTATTTTGTTAAATTTGTTGGACTTTTTTTTAATATATTTTAGTTAATTTTGTTTATTACCATTTAATATCAGTTATTGTAATTTGGTTATCATTTACCATTTAATTCTTATTGTAAGTTTGTTGTATTTAAATATCAAATTGTTATTAGTTTGATAAAATTTAATAATTGTGTTCGTTTTTTTAATCTTCATCAGCGATTATCGAATGACATTAACTTGAAGTAAATGCAAATTAAAATACAAGAATTATTATTTGATAAACAAATACATCATTTCCTCATCAATTGTTACTTGATGATAACAGAAGTGGACATGTTTTTCTAGTGTGTCATGGGTTTCTACAATGGCCACATCTTCTGTCTTGTCTAGATCTTTCTCGAATATCCATATCGCAATGAATTCGATTGGATTTTGGACGACCACACTCCCTCAATAAACTTGGATTTGGTACAATCGGAAGCCAATCATGAACCTCATCAGGGTCTTTGTCATTACCTATGGGGGGAAACTCAAATTCGTATACCTTAAAAACATCAGATAGTAGGTATACGGGATCCACAAAATGGTTATAGTCTTGACGTATATGCGAGCAAGCTGCTATCACATGAGAGCATGGATACTTCAGAGCTTGAAAAAACCCGCAGTCGCACGCTCTGTCCCTTAGATTTACTCTTAACGACACAGCTTCAATCCCTTGAAGAGGTCGGGGCAACTCTGTGACACGAAACATTTCATGCCTTCTAGAGAAGCTTGTTACAGACATTCCATTTGATGCAGTAATTTTTTTCTGTAGATCTGCAACTAATCTAGGGTGATAGACATGACTGCCTTGCATCCAGGTTTGAGCTTGTCCCCCGAGCTTCGCAAAAAGCGCCCCCAAACGAAAATATGTAGTTTTTACCAAAGCCGCTACAGGTAAATGACGTGTACCCTTTAAGGTTGAATTGATTGCCTCAGCGAAGTTGTTCTTCATGTTTCCATATCGATATCCACCATCATATGCGTTCGTCCACATTTCTTTATCGATGAGGCTGATGTAATCGTATCCTTCCTCGTTCTTCGCCCGCAAATCTTGAAGCATTGATTCAAACGTTCGAGGAAGTAGTTCGTAACCTGATCAAAAAATGTATAACTTACTAACTTGCTTTCTTTGCAAAATTAAAATGATCAAAACATGTATATCTTACTAACTTGCTTTCACTTACCCATGCGCACAATTAATTGACGCTCATTATTCTTCTTGTACCTTCCATGA